CCAACTCAAAAAAAAAAAAAAAGAAAAGAAAAGTAATTTCATCTGATCATAAAATTTTCTTTTTTAAAGGCAAAAAGTTACTTCTGGGGGTGAAGCATTTGGTAATAGGATTTAGCTGGGATAGTTCTGAAGGTGGTGATGACGTTTATGGGGTGGCCAAAGGGGTATAAAGTTGAGGATCACTGAAGTCGAGGTCCAGAAACTGGTCATGGAATAGATCATCTTTTCTTTTTCTTTTTTTGAGTTGGAGTCTCAGTCTGTCGCCCAGGCTGGAGTGCAGTGGCATGCTCACGGCCACGGCAGCCTTGACCTGCTGGGCTTAGGTGATCCTTCCACCTCAGCCTTCCAAGTAACTGGAACTACAGGCACGTGCTACCATGCCTGGCTTTTAAAATTATTATTATTATTATTTATTGTAGAGATGAGGTCTCATCAAGTTGCCCAGGCTGGAATTGAACTCCCAGGCTCAGGCAATCCTCTCACCTTGGACTCCCAAAGTGCTGGAATTACAGGCTGAGCCACCGCGCCCGGTCAATAGATAGATCATTTTTATAGACACTAAAGTGTCCCAGGATGATGGTGAGGCTGGAAGAGGGTGAGCCACAAGTGTCAGCGAATGTGGAAGAGTGGCTGAGAGGTCAGTAGATGATAGCAGTTCAAAGAATGTAGTTCAGCAACATGAGTCCCAGCTGAGCACTTTGGGCGTGAGAGAGGAATGCCATCATCACTCTGCCCCCCACCCTGTGACATCTGTGATGTGAAGAAATGAGCAGCCCCCACTTGGGAGATTCACAGGGAAGGGATGTCTCACGGTGGGCAGGTCTATGCAAGCCTACCCAAAAAAGTCCAAGGAAGCCAAGAAGCTAAAGAAAGTGACTGACAAAATCAGTTTATTGGAAAGAAACGTTTCACAGGGATTCCAAACAGAGCCATGTCTGTGTCTCCAGCAGCAACAAGACAAGAGGGTAGATCCCTATGTCATTACTCCCAGACACAGGACTTAGATACCACAGGGAAGAGGTGATTCAGAAGGGATGTGTAAGATAACTGAAGTATGATAACATCAAGGTGTTTGACATAAGGGCAAGATTTACAGTAAGTGCCTGCTCTTACACAAGGAGCAATAGATAAACTGGACATCTTAGAGGCCTTCCCAGACTGGGGGTAATCAGAAGCCAGCATGACAGATAAGCATCCAAGATGGAGTTGCCTTGGCCTCTACCAAAGATCAAGTAAGACAAGGAAGCAGGAGAACACTAAAAAAAGATTATGGACATGAGAGTGTTTACCATGACCAGAGGGCATGGGTTGGGAGGAAATGTAAGTATAAAATTGAGTCTGTCCCAAGCGCCTGCTTCCTTCCAAGCAAAATAAACCACAAATGTGTGAACGGGGTATCATGATTTTATTGCATGTTAGTATTCATCCTAGGCTCATAGAACAAAAGAAGACATTCTTTGCCATCATCTCGATCAGGAGCATAACATCCAGAGTACACACTTAAGACCCCGGCTGCTTTGACAAGGACATTTATCCCCTGGTGTTTAAATTGCCTCATCCCACCTTTTATTTTCTGCCAGGCTCAGAGTGTCCACCTTCCCCACTGTGGGGGAGTAGATGTCCACTTCTCAGGAGCCGTGGACTGCTTCCGGCAGACACTGAAGGCCCAAGGGGTACTGGGGCTCTGGAATGGATTGACAGCCAACTTACTGAAGGTGAGAGGAGTGGCCATATTCTACTGATTCTTTATCTCTTCCCATTCTACCCTCTGTTGCTCCCCACCTCATCATGGTTTACATGGAAAACTCCCTCTAGCACTGATGGTAATACAAGGCCTTACTGTGGAGGTTCATGAATACTCAAGGAGAACGTAAACCCCACCCTAAAATTACATGCAAAAAATGTGATGTGTGTGTGGGGGGGGTGTATCATTCTCAAATAACTTCATGACCAAAAAAAAAATGGTGGGGTACAGTGCAGTGAAGCACTCTGGACTAGCCTTGCCCTGGCTGGCATGTAAATGACTCCAGTCAAGATCAGTATATATTAACAGGCAGCATCAGATCATATACATGCATGACTCCAGATCCAGTGCCTCCTCAGGCATGTCCATCCATCGCTCTGTCATTCCTCTTCCCCACCCATATTGCACCAGCTTTCCTTCTGCTATCTTCCCTGATTCTAAAAAGAGTGACCTTGTGATTTTGTCCACAGCTGTTATTTTTGTTTACCCTGATCCGAGTGATTGCAGCCACACTGACATTTTCTTTTCAAGAGTTTAACATGATTTTCATTTTCTGTTTTAACAGATAGTTCCATATTTTGGAGTTATGTTTAGCACCTTCGAGTTCTGCAAGAGAATCTGTCTTTACCAAAATGGTTACATTGTGTCTCCTCTGAGCTATAAGTTGACCCCAGGGGTGGATCAGAGTTTGCAGCCCCGGGAATTACGGGAATTAAAGAAGTTCTTCAAAACTGGAAAACTGAAGTCTAAAAAACCAACTCTGTAAAATTGAATGCAACGATAAGTGCACTGGCTGAAGACATGTTGCAATCAAATGGAGCCTCATAACTGTGCGTGTGAGGAGTGATGAGGCTACTCCTGTCTGCTGCTCTTAGAAATGAGCCAGTTTGGCCATTCACCACCTCAGACCTCCAAACTGACATCCCTGTGAATACCTGCACCGTGAAATGGTTTCCTAGCACTACTGTGTCATGATGACATTCTGCCAGATTTTAGAAACAAAACCTAGCAGAAATAAAACATGCAGTTTACACTCTGAATAGAAACATGACACTAAGGAAAGGGCGTTGCCATGGCTTCAATATAGTTGAAGTGGCTGAGCAAATACCACCTTGTGAGCTCAGTCACAGTCACTTGCAGTGCACAAACCAATGTCAGCCCAGTTTCACTCAGTTTGACTTAATACAATCAGTAATTTAAATTTTTTTTTTTTTTTTTAGAGAGACAGAGTTTCTCTAAAGTCTGCAGTACAGCACAGTGGCGCGATCATAGCTCACTGCAGCCTTGAACTCCTGGGCCCAAGTGATTCTCCCACCTCGGCCTCCCAAGTAGTTGGGACTACAGGCATGCACCACCACACCTGCTTAGTTTTTTAAATTTTCTTGTAGAGACAGGATCTTGCTATGTTGCCAAGTGGGTCTCGAACTCCTGGGCTCAAGCAGTCCTCTTGCCTCAGCCTCCCAAAGCACTGGGTAACAGGTGTGAGCCACTGCACTCTGCCCCAATAGCCATTCTTGAACTCAAATCTTTGCTGACTTCTGAGTGCACACACCACAGTGTACATAGTAAGTGTTACCAGAAACTAAATGAAAAGTTATCACTATCCTGGCAGAACGATCCTTCTTTATTGAAATTTGAAGCATTCCAGGCTTAAAATCTTGTGTTCCAGGAAGGCAGATTTTACCATGACCGCTTAATTATGCCCCCAAAAACCTTTCCATTGAAGTCATGTACAGTTCAAATGGCATGAATTCTCTGCCTTTTTAACTTGTTTTGCAAGCCTACCCTGAAAATAAATTATTTAGTCAACTTAAGTGATTTTCACAAGATGTCCCAGTTGCCTAGAAAGGATCAAATGGAACATTTGACACACATACCAAAAAAAATGTAACTGAATAGAAACACTTTAGGCTGATCATCTGTACTACATTTTTTAAAATTAAATTTTAGGACTGTTACACCTTGGGAATTCTATGTAAAGTTTATATAACTGTACCCTTCAAATAGTGCCTATCTATGCATTTAACAATATGAATATCTAACATTAAGTTGTTAATTCATATACACTCAAACATTCACACGCTCATACAAAGAGATATTCAGTATGTTACAAGTATTTTTTCCTATTAAATTTATTTTCCAGAGAAAAATGATGTGTTGGCCATTTATTACTAATCTGAGTTATAAAACTATGGGTAAATATATACTGGCTAAATCTTCAAACTCTCAGAACCTTATACTATTCACATATACCAGAGTAACTCATTTTCCCAACTGCTGTGGTAGACTGTTTTACGGGGAATGGCAATTAGCACACACTCAAAAATCTCATCTTTGGTCCACTCTGTTAGAGTTTGGAGGGTGGTAAACTCTTCACCCAGAGCAAGTAGTTCATGTTTGTCACTCTTTATTTTCCTTGAAACAAATACCTTTTCAAGAAGTTCTGAAAGCTGCAAAACATTTTTTTTTTTTTTTTAGTCGGAGTCTCACTCTGCCACCCATGTTGGAGTACACAGGGCCACCACAGCCTTGACCTGCTGGGCTCCGGCGATCCTTCCGCTTCAGCCTTCCAAGTAACTGTAACTACAGGCGTGTGCCACCACGCCCGGCTAATCTTTTGATTTATTGTAAAGATGAGATCTCACCATGTTGCCCATGCTGGTCTCAGACCTGTGGGCTCAGGCAATCTCTCGCCTCTGCCTCCCAAAGTGCTGGCATGAGTCACCTTGCTGGCTGCAAAACATTTTTAACATTCTTTTTTTAACTAAATCTAAAATACTAACCTCAGGTTATTTACATCATAGCAATATCTTCTATATATTCTTCCACAAGTATTATGAAATAGGCCACTAAGCTTGTCCTACTGCCATACATAGAAATGTTTTCTGAGGCCGGGCTCCGTGGCTCAGCCTGTAATCCCAGCACTTTAGGAGGCCGAGGGGAGTGAATTGCCTGAGCCTGAGGGTTTGAGACCCACCTGGGCAACTTGTTGAGACCTCATCTCTACAATAAATCAAAAACTAGCCGGGCGTGGTAGTGCACGCCTGTAGTTCTGGCTACTTGGAAGGCTAAGGCAAAAGGATTGCCGGAGCCCAGCAGGTCGAGGCTGCGGTGGCCGTGAGCGTGCCATTGCACTCCAGCCTGGGCGACACAGTGAGACTCCAACTCAAAAAAAAAAAAAAAAAACAGAAAGAAAGAAAGAAATGTTTTCTGAGCTGCAGGGTTTTTTTTTAAGTCAATAAATTAAGTGGGGAAAGGAATATGCCTCATTTTTCTAATTTTTTTTTTTTTTTTTTAGTTGGAGACTCACTCTGTCGCCCAGGCTGGAGTGCAGTGGCATGATCATAGCTACCACAGCCCCAATCTCCTGGGCTCAGTTGATCTTTCTGCCTCAGCCTTCCAAGTAGCTGGGACTACAAGTAGCTGGAAATACTTGGAAGGGACACACCACCACGCCAATCTAATGTTTTGATTTATTGTAGAGATGAGGTCTCACCAAGTTACCCAGGCTGATCTCAAACCCCTGGGCTCAGGCAATTCTCTCACCCCACCTCCTAACGTGCTGGGATTACAGGTGTGAGCCACTGCGTCTGGCCCATTTTTCTAATTTCAAAACGACTCTTAAAGCCTATTGCCAGCCGGGCTCAGTGGCTCAGCCTGTAATCCCATGCCTTTGGGAGGCTGAGGTGAGTGGATTGCCTGAGCACGCGGGTTTGACACCCCCCTGGGCAGGCGAGACCTCACCTCTACAATAAATCCAAAAAAAAAAAAAAAAAATTAGCCGGGTGTGGTAGCATGTGCCTGTAGTTCCAGCTACTTGGAAGGCGGAGGCGGAAGGATCGCCGGAGCCCAGCAGGTCGAGGCTGCGGTGGCCAGGAGCGGGCACTGCACTTCGGTCTAGTTCCGTTTCTAAAATGAACTTCCAGCTACTTTCATTTTCTTGGAGGTATGAAGGGAGTATTCTGCCTTTCTTCTTTATGGCTGGTGGTAAGCACTACATACGACTAAGTACTTTAGGAGGATTATAAAGATGTGTTACACAAAGAAAGATATAAAAAATAAAATAAAATAAAGAAGCGTGATGCAATATTGACCCAGGAGTAACTTATGGTCTTAAGGAACAAAACATACCTAGATACATGAAGTGATTGATTAAAAAACAAATACAAGCAAAGGCATGATAATGTGGTATCAACTATTTGCAAGATTGCCTAGGAGCTCGATCTATACTTAGTGAATGAAGGATTAAAGGAAGCATCACAGGGAAGAAAGGCTAGTGATGAGCAGAGTTTTTTGGAAGTAATGAGTCTTAAACTAAGTTGAGGGTTTTTTTGTTTTGTTTTGTTTCGTTTTTCTTTCTTTGTTTGTTTGGTTGGTTGGTTTTTGAGTCAGGGTTTTACTCTATCATCCAAGCTAGATTGCAGTGGCATGGATCACAGCTCACCACAGCCTCCAGCCTCTTGGGCTCAGGTGATCCTTCCTCCTCAGCCTCCCGAGTAGTTGGAACTAGAGGTGTGCACCATCACACTCAGCTAATTTTTTTTTTTTTTTTTTGAGTTGACGTCTCACTCTGTCGCCCAGACTGGAGTGCAGTGGCCGCTCCCGGCCACCGCAGCCTCGACCTGCTGGGCTCCAGCGATCCTTCCGCCTCCGCCTTCCAAGTAGCTGGAGCTACAGGTGCACACTACCATGCCCAGCTAATTTTTGATTTATTGTAGAGATGAAGTCTCGCCAGGTTGCCCAGGCGGGTCTCGAACCCGCGGGCTCAGGCAATCCACTCACCTCAGCCTCCCAAAGCGCAGGATTATGGGCTGAGCCACCGAGCCTGGCTTAATTTTTTTTTTTTTTATATAGATGAGGTCTCACTACGTTACCCAGGTTGGTCTTAAACTCCTGGGCTCAAGCAATCCTCCCGCCTTGGCCTCCCAAAGTGCTGAGATTACAGGTGTGAGCCTCTGCGCCTGGCCTTAAACTATGTTTTGAAGGAAGTAAGGGGATATTTAACTGGCCAAGAATGGGTAGAAAAGCATTGCAGGTCGAAAGCAGGGTATATGCAGTGACACACAGGTGGAAGCAAGCAAAAGGTGTTGGGAAGAGAGTGAGAAGACAGGTTTTGCACATTTATTCAGCAACTGCTAGGCTGACTTTGATTTTTAAAAGCTCATTCTGGTTGCAGTGTGGAGAATGGGCAGGAGGGAAGCAAGGCTGTGAGTATAAAGACAAGCTCATGAAACTGTCCCCACAGGGTTGACAAGAATTGCATGCCGAGCTCTGGGCAGAAATATAGTTACAAGAAAACCAAACACTGCATGTTCTCACTCATATGTGGGAGCTAAACAGTCACAAAAATGGAAATAATAGACACCAGGAACACCAATAAGGGGGGAAGGAAAGGGGGGTTAGGGTTCAGAAACTACCTGTGGGATAAAGTTCACTATCTGGGAAATGAGCCACCTGAAATCCAATCCGAACCACTACACAGTATGTCCATGTAACAAATATGCATGTGTACCTCCAAATCAAAAAGTAAAATAAAGCTGAAAAAAGGAAATACAGTTATAATAAGGCATTAAGCAGGCTGCACTTCGGCCCACTTCCTTGTTGCAAAAGTCACAGCAGCACTATATACTGACCATTTGCATCCCCCACTGTTCCTATAGACAGGATCTCTGAAATCAGAATCATAAAGCTTTTGTTTAAGGATCACTTAAGTTTTTTTCAGACCCCAAATTCCAGGAACCAGTTTGAAGACTCCCCACTGAGGAATGGGATCTGCATGAGAATACAGCATCTTAATTTCCCTGTCCCATGACTTAACCCTGTACTCTTCAGCCAATCAACAATCTCCACACTTCAGCCCACTCCAAAACCCTTAAAAATTCTAGTCCCAAATTCCTCGCGGAGGAATTTGAGGTTCCCTCCGATTTAACCATTTGGTGACCTTATGGTTAAACCTTTTTTTCTGTTGCAACCTGGTGTCTCGGCGTATTGACTTGCTGGT